AGACCCATGCTAAAAGAAATATTGACAGGTCTATTCTAAATAGAAAAGAAGCAGGATGCTACAGAAATGAGAAACTCATAACTGGAAAGGAGATAACTGCCATGAATTACAAAAAGAATAAATACAAAATTATAAAAGAAGACAACTAAATCATTAAGAGTGGGAGAGGGAAGCAAGGAAAGCCACTGTGGAAAACAGTATGGAGATTCCTCAAAAGACTAGGAACAGACTTACCATATGACCCAGGAATCCCGCTCCTGGGCATATATCCAGAAGGAACCCTACTTCAGAATGACACCTGCACCCCAGTGTTCACAGTAGCACTATTTATAATAGCCAAGACATGGAAACAGCCTAAATGTCCATCAACAGATGACTGAATAAAGAAGATGTGGTGTATTTGTACGATGGAATACTATTCAGCCACAAAAACCAACAACATAATGCCATTTGCAGCAACATGGATATTCCTGGAGAATGTCACTCTAAGTGAAGTAAGCCAGAAAGAGAAAGAAAAATACCATATGAGATCACTCATATGTGGAATCTAAAAAAAAAAAAAACCATAAACACAAAACAGAAACAGACTCATAGACATAGAATACAAACTTGTGGTTGCCAAGGGGGTGGGGGGGTGGGAAGGGACAGACTGGAATTCTAAAATAAAGGATAAACAAGATTATATTGTATAGCACAGGGAAATATACACAAGATCTTGTGGTAACTCATAGCGAAAAAAATGTGACAATGAATATATATATGTTCGTGTATAACTGAAAAATTGTGCTCTACTCTAGAATTTGGAACAACATTGTAAAATGACTATCACTCAATAAAAAAATTTTTTTAATTAAAAAAAAATCCAAGCCAGTATTATTTTCCTATATGGAATATAATATTTCGGTTTTTAGAATTTCAAAAAAATAATAGGGTGTATGTAAAACAGAAGACAAATTAAAAATGTAGATAACTTATTTGTGAATGGATACACATACACATATATCAATCAACATCTTACATTCACACAATTTCCAATCAATTCAAAAAGTTATAGTACAATACTTTTTAAAATTAAAACAATGCCTGATGCTGGGTTCCTAGATCTTCTACAAAGTTATAAAACATGAATTCTTCCAAATTTCTCTGATAGCTTCATCAGCTTAAAGAACACTAAACATTGTGCTCCCTTAGGCACTCCAGTCACTGAGATTTTATTTCAGGCCAGGCCACCTCCTTCAGGATCCTTTTGCTCAGCTGCACCTAGGTCCACACAGAGGCAAACTAATTATTCAAAATGAGCACCTGCTTGTTATCTCATTGCTAGGTTCTGGGGACAGAGACAGAGAAGGGAGAAACATCGTCTCTTATGAACCCAAGAACGCATGGTGGAAATGAACCGAGGTGTTCCCTACTTGTAGCCTCGCTGGCCATCGGATGAAAGATCTGACAACCGATCGTGTAGCAGCCAAAGTCATCCACCCAGAGGGTAATCATTTTAACTGACGGCGGAACACACGCAGGCCCATGGGTCACGAAAGGAGCTGTCTTGAAAGCCTCAGTGTGAACAAATTGCTCATTGCAGCCTTCATGGTGGCCCACCTGGTTTCCACCTCCCACACCCATATTCGGAATCTTTTTAAAAGAATAATTTTTAGCCCTATACATCCAAAAGAGCAGACACAACGAGCATCTGCATGAAAGGTTAGCACTTTGACCCTCACTGCTCTGCAGTCCCCACCAGAGAGTGGTGTCCGGCACCCACACATTTGAATCCTTATTGTAGGTTGTTAGCAGAAGGAACTGTAGCCTCATAATTGTTATCTGTTATTTACATTCCATTTCAATATTCTTGTGGTTTTCTTTTCTTTTTTTTTCTTTTATCAGATTCTGTTGGTAAATGAAAAACAAAGAAATGGAAGAGCTTTCAATCTGAACTTAAATACTGAAAATTAGGGAGGCAGAGCGCATGCTGGGTATGCATGAGGTCCTGGGATCAATCCCCAGTGCCTTCATTAAAAAAATAATGATAACTAACTAAAGACAAACCTAATTCCCCTCCCCCCAAAAACACAAAGAAAGAAAGAAAATGAAATTAAATAAATACTAAAAAGTAGCAGACTAGAACAGCCAAACACCACAAAAGGACTCATATATAGCATTTAATTTCCATGCTTCTATTTGTTGGCTGGAAACTGTGTTCAGGAGTCATTTCAGAGCTTGCTCACAGTTCAGGAAGTCGGCTAGGCAGCTTTCCCAGGAAACGCAAAGAACATGACAGGGCCTGCGCTTTGACAGATACACACCTAGACCACCTTTGGGGGCACCATGCCAGGGTTCATATTCCTCACCCTGTAATTAACTATTGCCATTGCAATAGGATCCTTACCTCCAAAGGTATCCTTTTAATTAATTTATATATTGATCTTATTTTCAAAGGGATTGTTCTAGTGAATCACTGAATTCTGAAAGTTATCTTAGTTATCTTATCAAAAATTATCTTAGTTTGTTTTTTATTTACAGGGGCTATTCCATAGCTAGTAGAATACCTAGAATATACAATATCTACATGACTTTTTAAAAGATGAGAACAAGTTACCAAAAGAGTAACTTTTGAAACACTACATAATTATTAACATTTGTTGAGCACTCATTGTATACCATGTAATATACTAAGTGCTTTTATACATCGTTCATTCATTCATTCACTCACTCATTCGATATATACCTAGTGTCTACTATGGGCAGTATTCTAGGTCCTGGAGACAGCTGTGAACAAAACAAAGCCCCTGCTTTCACAGCGCTCACATTCCATTAGGGAGACAATCAACAAATAAGTAAAATGTAAAGTGTATGTAGGAAAATAAGTGATATGAATAAAAATGAAGCAGAGAAGGGAAATAGTGAGTGACTCTGTGTGTGTGGATGTCAGGGGGATGTTTGTTAAGAAGCACTGAACAATTTCTTACGAACTACTTATTTAATGCCCACAGCAGCACTTCATGGTAGGTAGTTTTACTTCTTCCATTTTACAGGTAAGAAAATTGAGACTTGAAATGTAAAGCAATTTGCTTAAGGCCACGCAGTATACAAAGGGCAAGGCAAGATTTGAACCTAGCTCTGCCTCACCCAACAAGCTGTGCTTTTAACCACCTACCTCCTGTCCAATCACCCAAGTTTGTTGCTGGAAGTCATTGTTACTGCTTCCCCTTCCATTCACCCCCCTCTCTTCAACTGAATCTCAGCACCAGGTTTGAACGTTAACCTGTGGCTATATAATTGAGTTCTTCACAATGCATAACCTACCTCAAGACTGGTTCTCCTAGGATAACAGGAATTGCTTCTAAGATTCACCATCCACATGGTGTCGCTTAAGCCACATAGCCAGCTGGGAAAGGGTGGCAGAACTATCACCACTCCGTTGTCCAGGCTTTTGGCTCCTCGATTTCCTCTTCACGCCCTGGAAGGCCTTGCACCTGTGCATTAAATGCATGTGTAAAGATAGAAGGATACGCCACAGGAAAATGGGGATGGGGCAAGCTGTGTTCTCAGCCACTCCAATCCTGAAGAAGAGGGGCTGGGCGATAATTGAGTGATTTGAGGGAAAGTACACATACAATCCTAAGCAATCAAAGGGAAGATTATCTTACTTAATACTGGGGGTAGATGTTTTTCTTTCTGCCTCTCAAGTCCAAAAAGGGACCGCAGAACAAGTGGCTTAGGTTGTAAACGTTAAGGTCAAGGACCCCTTCTGTTGAACTTAGCTCTCAAGATCTCAGTAGTCAAGCAAGTGTGAAGCATAATTAATAGCAAGGGAAGTATAAGTTGTGGAAGATACGCCGTGAAAGTCAGAGGCTCCTTCCATGGGCCCCAACAGCGAGCCTACCACAAAGAGGACTTAACACTCGCAGGGCTGTTAAAAAGCACCACTTACTGAAAGCCTGCTCTTCCCCAGAGCCTCTTACTGGAGTTGCTCTGTGTGGGTGTGTTCGTAAAAGTGGGTGAGCAAGCATGTACTGGGTACAATCTGTGAATGTGCAAGGGAAAACAGAACCTCTCAATGAGAAAGAACATGTGTTTCTGGCACTGCATCTGTGCAAAAAAGACACAGTGCCTGTAAATGTACTAAAGAAAAAAAAACCAAACTATTTTTTAAAATCTTGTATTTTACACATGTCATCTTGGCACGTTTCCCTCCTGCTGACTTCCGGCCGACCTAATAGCCCTTTCTCACCTGAGGTCCACGAAATGTTTCTAAGTCTGGCAAAGCCTGACTAACCAGACAGACTACTCACTTGGGGATCCCAGAGGCAAACCCCGGCCCAAGAACTGACGTGCCTCTGCAGGGCGCACCTGCCTGGAGGGCGGAAATCACATCCTTTCCGAGGGCCGGGCGGAGGCCAAGCCAGGCCACGCGAGCCGGGCGCGGCCGGGCGGGCAAGGATCCGAAGTGACTCGGAGGGTGTGCGCGACCCGG